TGTTTGCACAATACCACTAGTGCTACATCTGTCTCTTATACACATCTAGATGTGTATAAGAGACAGCTGCACCCTTTGTTGTTGTGATGTCCTCCTTTTGTTCAGTAATAATTGGGGTAATAATCGCAAACTGATATTTTATTGAAATGGTTAATACCTGTAGCAATGTCTATGTACTAGTTAAATGGATGTTCTTCCGTTGAAACTCAACCTAGCCTAGGATAGCCACTAGGCCTATTCTGTTGCCATTTGGAAAAAAAGAAGAGTCTGCAACATGCCAAGGTCTCTAGCTAGGCCTATGCACAGTCAGCATTGTGGTAAGTAAAGAAAACATATTAATCTCCTTTCGTCCATTAATGTACGCCTTCCACATTACGCCTAGTTACTTATTCTAGCCTAGGCCTAGATATAATTTTGTAGCTAAGTATCAAGTTTTGTTCAGTCAGTTCGTCAGTCAGTGCAGTGGCAGTGTTTCTGTTCGTATACTGTACTGTTTAGGCTAGGCCTAGGCTAAACCTAAGAATTGAGTAAAAAAAAGTGCAACAGGTCAGGTACGGGCGTTGGGACACAAAAGAAAAATCGTTGTTTTATTTTGCCTACCTAGCCTAGGCTTAGGCCTCTTCCTTAACCTAGGGCCTACAGTACACAGTACCTAGCCTAGCTAAGCCCAAGGCAGGAAATTTGAAAAATAAAATGCATTTTTTCTTTAAATATCATTTATTTATTGTATTTTGTGTCAACCAAAAATATTGAGACTTGTTTTTGCACAGTTCAATATACTTCACTCTTTTTCAAAATGAATGATTCAAGTATAACTGTCAACTGTCTGACCTCAATAATTGGTGTTTTAAATGCGACAACCACACAAGTCATGTCCAAAAACATCAATAGCTGGAACTTTTTAATATACTCATATTCTATACATAGGAAGTTTCAATTATGCTGTAATTAAAGTTTGAAATATTTCAAGCATAATTATATTTTTGTTGACCAAAAAATATGGTATAAATAACTGGGGTGTGAATATTTTACATATGTGTCCATTGACAGTCAAATACTAATAGCATGCGCAAATGTGGGAGGAAAGTTTACTAATAAATAGTAAATAATTATTTATCTTCCAATAGATTGACATTGGCCATGGTTTACTTATAGAAAAGGACCAGCTCATAGCCATCACTCAGAAAGCAATGGGGCACGAGGCAAATTCAGAATTTGTTTGTTATTGTTTCCGATGCATGAAGTGGTAGGGAAATACAAGATAGGGAAGAAAAGCAAGGCACATGTGGAACATCGGTAGAGAAAGAGCGTTTGAATCCCATCTGAATTACTGCCATAACAGGTAGGTAATTTGTTAAATAAGTTTGTGTTTTACCTTTTAAATGAAGATACTACAGGCTTATGTACTGTAATAAGGGGTTTATATTTCAAAAGATAAATGGTACATCAACATGTAAAGCTTTTTTATTTGGGTTAGACATTGATTTTTTTTCTTTAAATTTTAATCTGAAAGTTTGCATTGTCACTTTGTAACCAATTAATAACCATCAAAAAAGGGAGCCCATCTTTATTACTGACTTAACCTACACAGTAGCTACATCTTACTGTATATGTTCTGCATAGCACTTGAATGAAGAAAATATTTTGCTACAAGTGGAATACTTATATTAAAATTATATTTAGATTTTGTACAAGATAACAAATATGAAATAATACTTTTATTAGACCACTACTTTTAAGGTATCTGCATTTTATTCTTTAGAGATTACCATAACTAATTTTAGACATTGCACCAAAATTATTAAAATTCATCCTGCTCTTGTTGGTTGCCCGTTTATGAGTTTTCGATTTAGAAGCCTATAAGAGTA